ACTGCTACCACACCAACCCATATGGAGTTTGTGAGCTAACACAATGTTTCCACTCTTTCAGTTCAATAGCAGAGTGGGTGTATGGAAATGTCATCGTTTTGGCAATCAACCAATTTATTGAAGTCTCTGCTGAAAGGCCAAACAGTTTCTGTTACGCTGAATGAATAGCAGCTCCAGCCAAGGCTGGAAATGCTCCTGCTGCAGGCTTAAGAAAAGCCTTTTTTTCCTTTCTGAAAGCAGCTAGGGTGTGCGGTTTAGTTCCTTGCCTTTCTTACCAACATGTGGGTTTATATAAGAAGATGAGACCTGAGACTTGAAGATGAGCATTTAGAAACTGTTTTCTTGAGAAAGTTGAACCAGAGAGAAGTGTTTGCCTGAGCTGAAATAGGCTGTCAAGGAAGCCTTTGGTCCTAACTGACCATGAATGGGGTGCTGTACTTTGAGGGCAGTTTGGTGACTGTGTTGTCACTGGTGGATGCTTGTGACATCTGCCAGTGGGACCTGTGTCAACAGCAAAGGCACAGCGAAGCACAATTTTTTACTGATGTGAGTATTCCTAAAGCTATTCATATACGCAAAAAGGAATAATTAGTTCGTTGTAACTTTTTGCACTACGACAGTTTAAAAAGCCTCAGGCAATAATACCTCTGTGATCTGAGGGACTGTGGTGGTTCGGTGTTTGGCGGGGTTTTGGCTGGGCTTTGGTAGTGGGGGAAGGGGCTACAGAGGTGGCTCCTGTAAGAGGCTTCCAGAAGCTTCTCCGGCTCCAATTTCAGACCCGCCTCCGGGCAAGGCCAGACCGATGGCACCTCTGCGAATAACTATTGAAGAGTGAAAGAAGGGGTTGGTTGCTGTCTCTTTGTTTTGCCTGTATTGGTGAGCGAAGGGGGATGGGAGAGAGACAGCCCTGCGGACACCCAGGTCAGTGAGGAAGGAGAGGGGGGCTGTGCCGGAGCAGCGACCAGGCCCGGAGCAGGACGTGGCTCCGAGGAAGCCCGCGCTGGAGCCGCCCA